AATTTGGATGACGCTCCTAGCCTGGAATTCTAGTCCCTTAATAATTATGCCTGTGCCAGTATTTATAGAATTCGGATAAAATTTAATATGTTATAATGCGGTAAATATTTTACTATGATTCAGGATATACAAGGACACCAAATATTATTCAGTTCGTGTCCACCTAACAACTAAATATGTCGGGATATAAGCTGCTTCACCCTGAACTTCATCAGTAATTTGTCACAGAACCGTCAGCTATTTTGTACAGACGAAAGGCGGATATAAAAATGTGCATGTCAACCCACATATTGTACGTCGTTATCATGAAAATAGCCAGGTGTTATAAGAAATTACTGATTACTAACTAAACTGTATATAGTTAGCTACTAAATGTTTAAAACATGTGATTATAGATAATACTCTTTATTATAGGCACAAAAAAGACTGTATTCAACAAAAAAACTTGAAATAGTTCAAAAGGCCAAGTTAATATTTTGAGACATGTACTAGTAGTAGTATACCAATATGTTATTTTCTACCCAGTCACCCTCATTTGCAAATGGTACCCATCTTTGTTCTAAAACTTGTATTAAATCAGAATGATCTGCCTTTTGGGGTCCTTGTAGGATGCGATGACAAAATTGGAAGAAGTAAAGAGAACTTTGTAATATCCGAAATAGAGCTAGAGCTACATAGGAGTATTGTAAGAACGTATGTTTCCATAAAAAAATGCTTTTAACAAAAAGTCCTCTTCACCGGCCCAATACCATTGGCTTCGCAGCTTCTTCCAAATACGCATTTATCGAGGAGCACTATTCATCGGTTCCTCCTTCTTCTGATAGAGTTCCAAAGTTAGTTTACACGTCAACTTCTGCTTCATTGAACAAAACTGTTAGTTGTCGTTACGAGATCATCTACTCACAGTGCCAAAACCTTAATATATTTTCCTTCTTTGTGAGTGTGTTTATCAAAATATTGTAAATTCACTGTTACTTTGTAAAATACCCCGGTATATTCAAAACAAAGTAACAGTTGCTCTAATGTTTCGTTCAAACTTATTGTATAAGTAAAAAAAATAATATTAATACTTATTTAAGATATAGGTAAAGATTTTTTTTATTGCGACTTCTACTATGAATTTGAAAATAAAGACAGATGATTTTACATTTAACTGTAAAGTGTGAAGCGTTACCTACTCTATTGCTGTGTAATATTCAGCGGCATTGCAATATCGATTGTACTGCGGAGCAGCATTAATTTAATATTATACATCTAGATAGGGACAATCGTCATAATCCACTGGAGAAAATTTAGAATTTCTGTCATTAGGTTTATAATATAATATCTGTAATTGATAATGTATAAATGGCATCTAATTAATATATGAGCCGCAATACTAGAAACGACACTTCAATGTTTTTAATGCATTAGCTTTATATTTTAATGTTATTCTCTTTTACGCTTCTATAAACTTATTCTTTTTAAATTCACAAGTAAATCTGGAGTACATACGTAAGCAAAAAAAAACTATATGCAAGTATTTTCACTATGTCTATGCCAAACACTCATATTTTCCTCATTACCTTCGCATATTGTTATCCCATCTAGTATTTTCGTATTTACTTTTTCCTCTCTGTATCACTTTCTTCAATAAATGATCAAGTAGCCACAATAATAATAAAAGTTTTTCGAAACATTAATGATAGTGTTGATAAATATTTAATTTTAATAACCATCACCTATGTAAAAATTAGTGAAAAAACATATAACTTTTGTTTCAGATAAAAAAAACCTTATTAAATTCCCCTTATTTCAATTTGATATTAACTCTTTCCAGACCTACAATATTTTCTGAAGAGATAAAAAAATTGTGACTAATTTTCGCTTCAATTTATCTACCTCTGATAGTTCTTTTACTAATGGTGGTGAAACATCACCTACTTCATATTTTAGCAATCGCACTATCCGCATCATTATACAATAACAGGTACATGTCTGTTTTTGACTTGAAGCTTCGCATCGATCAATTAATTCGATACGTATCTAGCGGCACCCTAAGGCCTGCCCTGCTCTGTCGCCCTGGTGTTGAAAAATTAAGTTTTCTTGCTGAGAGACGTTGGTCTTGCATTTCATTGTCGTTTGCGCTAGTGTGAGTGAGTTTGACACTTTGTTTGGACGAGTATATGGCACCTGTTTTTATGGCAGTCAGTAGCATTGTGTATTGTGAGCATAGAGTGGCACACGGATTGACCACAGGTTTAGCTTATTCTGCTACTACAATTGCTAGCATAATATAGATTACTAGCGTTTATTTATTTGATTGTCGCCAGATTTAGTTATTAGCCATACAGATTACTAGAATTAATTTTCGACTTTCCAATCTCTTTTAACTTTACTAAAGCGTACAAATCTTCAGTTACATGGCATTACAAAGTATTTGAAGTCAAAGTGTCTGGTAAAAACAGTATCAATTACATGGCATAATACCTGAAAAAATTAATATTCTCCTGACGTTCTAAGCCGGGCTCACAAAATGTAAGGGTGTTATGTACTTCCCATTTATTCTCAGACAATATTCTAAAAAACAGACAATATGTTTTCCCTTATTCCCTCATAGTGTAAATTTATGTCGGCAGTAAGCAAGCATATAACCAATAATCTCTATTTCGCAATATATTTTCTTTGGTACACCTTAAGCCGCTGAAAACTTTCATAATCATCGAGCTCTTTGTAAATGATCCCGGATATTTCCCCGAAGCTAAATACACATATCGAAAGACACCGGCCCGCACACAAAGTAGTGATATAAACACGATACTCTTCTTTTATTAAGGAACTGGGAGAGCGAATTTTATTTAGCTGACATAACACTAGAAAGAATGAAACTGGTACTTGAAAGGAAATACTTCTCCTATTTCATGCAATACCTTTAATACCTTTCACGGCATTGAGGCTGAAAGTCATCGTATATGAAGCTGCATACATCATATTACTGTAAAATGTAATATCCAAATGGGTTATATTTTATTCGATTTTTACAACGTCTTGCGAATAGCTTGATAGACCCCCATTTATCGCATTATATTTTCCGTGTATTCTCAACGGTTATTTAGATATTGCATTTCTCATAGTTTGTATTGAAAGGTTTATAGATCATGATTTTGTTGTAAATATAGGACGTAATTTAAGTGAGTACCTAATAATATATCTGGGGGCAATTCCTTAGGATCATTGCAAGAACGAAAGTTGATATGAGCATATCTTCGCTTGTCAGACGTCTCTTCGTCTTTAGTTTTTGAAAAATAATCAAATATATGCGAAGATCTAAGTAAGAGCAATGATTCATTGAATTTGTAAACAATTATGTTAATCTGTGATGCAGATGCTGACATACAAATTAGAAACTTTAGAATTCAGATATTTTGAACATTTAACCGGCTATTTTTTTATGGCTTAGCTTATTTAGGTATTTTGACACGCAATAAAGAATGAATTGACGACATCCTTTTGGCGCAAGAGTATTAAGGCTATGCTTTTCTTATGGGAGTAAAGCCCGCTGCCAATTTGAAAAAATTAAATTCTACTGAAATTATTTGCGATAAACATTATCTATACAGCAAATAAATCTACTTATATGCACATAGCATACATAACGTAAAAATATAATATTTAAGTAGTTTTAAATTATATTTAATGAACGCATAAAGACTATGTAGATGTGGAAACAGCGCTAATAATTGACTAGCAGTTGTACACACTGCGAACCTACAGACCTCGGACATCGGAGATATTGTGCGTCAAATTTGGGTAAAGATGCGTACGCGTTTAAAAATGTATTGTTTGTAAACTATGTACAATATAATAATTATATATAGCAAATATATCGTATAAATAACAGTCGCGCCCATGTCTCGTTCAAGCCAAAGAAAATGTTGGATGCAATTTTGAAGGTTCTGTGATAGAAATTACATTATTACTCACTGTTCGTGTTTTTAATCTCTATTTTAGTAATGTTACAAAAGTTTTGCAACTATAATTATTTTTTTAGATATAAAGTTTGCTGAGAAATATTTATGTTCCTTTGTTATTCCGTACAAATGCTTTTATCTCAAGTATTACTAATTATATTAATCAAGTAAAGAAAACTTTATGTAACCCTGAATATTACTGGGTAATGATTACGATGTTTTTATAAACCATTAAATATATTAAAAGGATTTATCAACTTTATTTTTTATTCCAATAAATATATCACAGCTTCCTAGTCTTTTTTAATTAATCTAGTTTTTTAAAAACATTACAAAAAATCATCTGTTGTGGATAATTTATTGTTGATAACAATGTACATGGGATTCAGGGAAAATGTATATGTTTGAAATCAATATCGTTTATATCAAGTCTTTCAAATGTATTCCCTCCTTGCTGTCAGCTGATTGCGACGTTGCCACATTAATCCTCAAGTCAGACAGAAATGCAATTATTGGTTTCTCTTTCTAATTAATGCAGCTGTACTATGTTCAAAACTTACATTAGTTTTACATCAAAAATAAGATAATACTGTGTACTATCTATGGAAAAGTTTTGTTTCACAATTTCTACATTTTTTCTCAGTTATGGGCAAAAAAGAGCCGCGTCCATCTTCGCCATATAATCCTATGTTAAAATGAACAACTTTCAACAACAATATCTCAAAATCTACAATCAAAAATAATTTTAAAAAAATATGACGTATAGAGGGAGCACTGGGTAATACGCTATATAAATTTCAAGTACATCTGTGCATTTGAGTAAACCCGATATACCTCCTTAAATAATTTTTTAAGTTACAAAATATCCAAATAAACAGAAAAAAATTAATCTTCTTTACAATGACTTAATTAGATCACTATTCTGTTTCATAAATCTAAATCAACTTACAGCCTACATAACACTTAATATTATTTTGCCTTTTGATGAGAAAATTTTGAATTCAAATTATGCAATGTATACTATTCTTCTAAATTATTTAAGACACTTACCAGTCATTTCCAGTTTTTGTCATATTTTGTCTTTTTCTGCCAGTCTGGTGTGGTTTGGGTTCAGCGACCATATTTACATCTGAAATAAGTAAATAAATAAATATATAAATATAAAAATTATTCACAAACATTTTTGGGAATGACGAGAAAGAGATGCAAGTTTCATCATCAATTTATACGTACACCACAATATTAAATTGTATATTGTGGAACATATACATAGTGAAGTAGAAATCATTAAATTTTTTTGTTTATCACAATCATGGCAAAAACGTGCCAGATATATATATTTTTTAAGCGCAACTAATTCAAGAAATAAGCAAAATACACATGACTTTTGCATGTGTTGCCCAGTCATCTTCCCGTATCGATCTAATGTAAATTGAATTTAGTATTCTTTTTCGTTTCTAGACAAATCTTATTTAACCAAATACAAATTATATATTTATTTTTATAGCTACAAACTAAATATAATAGTTATTTGTCGTATTAGATGATAAAAATATAATTTATCGAAGCCTGAAAAGTTTTAGTTCACGAGCGACGAAGGGGAAATCTGCGAAAACGAATTTGAGGAAGAAAAATTTCCTTCAGAAGTTGAAAAAGATCCAGTTATTGCCTCAAAAACGCGGCTGATTTATGAAACAGAATATTCGTGCTTTCGGAAGTGGAAAAGCAACAAGAATATCAACGGTGTAAATGAGAAACTACTTCTCACATATTTTTGGTGATCAAAGTGAGTAAATTAATAATATTAAGGTCCTATCACTCGACAGTAAATTCAAAATTGCTGGTAAATGAAGATTGTGACATTTCAAAGTAAGTAATACATCTGATGAATCCACTACATCAAGTAACGCTTTGTAATATTTTTAGACATTGATTATATTGCTAAAGAAATTAATTGATGGTTACAAACTGAAGAAATCGATTTGAAACACGATGATGTTCTGAGATTTTTAAGATGATTTTGACGGCGACTTTCTGTTTATGAAGGTTTATGAAGTTTATTATAAATATTTTCTTCTATAATTTTAGTAATTTAGATTTTAGATTACAGGTTATTGCAATAACGAGTTTGTTCGAGGCGTGCCGGTTCAATAAATTATAAGTTAGAAACTTTTAATGTTGATGATTGACAATCCCTCGTAATCGTCTCATAATGACACAAAAACTAAGTAATTGCATTACAGTTAAAAAAATGGGAAGTAAATGTTTTAGATATTGTCAATTTTTGTCCTAAAAAAATAGCTTTCCAAAAGTTCTTTATAAACTGTCGATAGAAAAAATATAGCATTCTATATGCATCAGAAATAAATATAGTGTAATATTTTTAAGAATATTGTCGTTACAGAAATATATACTGGCCTGTTTCTGCCGCTTTGTAGCCATATTACTGGCAAATTCTGATGCGGATCTGATAGCAGTCCAGCATATAGTGGGATAGAAGCCATCTTCAGTAGCCGAAGCTTACATATACAGTAGAAATAGTAGCGAGAAAGGTAAGTATTGAAGAACATACTCAGTGATGGAATAGAAAATTCTTGCAGTTCTACGTCTGTACATTTGCTACATGAAAAAAGTTATGTTCTAAGAATAAACATTTCTGGAAATATCAATTGTATAATTAAAGTTCATTTCAGATGTTCCTTCTTTGAACACAAGACAACATCTACTTGAAAGAAGGAAAGTAATAGATAACGCATGATCTCTTGTAACAATTAAAAAATCAGCATATCATTAAATACAGCTTTTCCGTAAGTTAATATTTTTTGTTTGAATATCTGTCAAAAAAAAACACAATTTGTACTGTGAGACGTGAGAGAATCGTAACAGTACGTAGCACCACGTTTTCCATATTTAATAAATGAAATATCTTCATTGACGTGCCCATATAAATAGCAAAGCTATCTATTCTTGTATTAGACGAAGCTTGGTTTCATTGTATACAGTGTTTTGTGCATTCTATAGCGTCTGATAGTGACATCGAAAAGGCAAATAATGTACGTCTCGATGTACGTGCATGTCTTCCGCCCAGGAGTTCTGATTGCCAGATCGCTACAAAAGCATCCGACTCTCCGCATCTGCACGTGCAGATAAAACTCGTATCTGTTCGGAATGCAGACGTATGTTCTTCCCACCAGCCGGTTGGTCCGACTCAGTTTAATAAGCAATATTCAGATGTATTATTTATTAGCTGTTTTGGTTTCAGATTTATTATTTATTAGCTGAATTGGAATTTAGAGACATAAAAATGTTAAAAACGTATTTAGGAAAATATCTCTAAATTTCTCAGATATTCGTAAAAATAATGATATTAGTTTCTATGACACTGTTCCGAGAAGTCAATATTAACAGTTTCATAACCTCATTTTTTTTTAAATTAATAGTTTGCGATAACATTTTCCTATTTAACATATTTTTCTAGATCTGATACACTTATTGTTAGTAGTAAACTACATCACGACAAAAAATCTTTAAAGTTTTGAAAGGCTGAAGCCCCGAACGGCTAAAATGTTTGTTATTGACTTCAAAAAAAAAAAATAAACATTAATTTTCATGTTAGGGGATCTTCTTGTTCCAAGTCGATAATAGTACCTATCTAATTATTACTATACAATAACTTAACCTATAATTGTTTCTAAATTCTACAACTTATAAGTGAAATAATAATAATAAAATAATTAATTATGCAGACAAATGCATAGAACAAAATTTTCAAGTTTTGCTTCGCTTATATTGCGAATTTTTCAATAAATTTTTATTGGTTTTAAGGGTTGCCAACAAAGCATTAAGTACGTTTTTATTTTCAAGCGTTTGATATTGTGAAGTTAGAACAAGAACACATTATTTGTAAGATTTTTTAAATGCTGAGCTATTCAGTTTCTAAGAAATGGAAATGAAAATATGAAAATTTTATACGATTTTAAAGTCACACAAGTTTCATAACTTTTTTTACCATAAGTGCAACTTGTTATATCATAGTAATAATAGAACGAATTAAAAAAAATAGACATTTTGTCATTGATATGTATTTGGTGTTGCTCATAAAAAATTGGTTTATTGCCATATATGTCCTGTAATTACAATGTAAGCACAAGTACCAACTTAGGTGAATTGATTGAACTATCGAGTTTATTTAAAAAAAATGTATAACAGAAAGTGTAAGTATTTTGAACATGTTGAAAACTATTGCCTGTAATATCCACTAGGAGTAAACTTGATTTTCTATATTGCTTTTACTAATAATTACTTTGGCACAGGGCCAATGAAACAAAAGATCAATTTTATAGTGAAATGAGGTTCAATTTCTAACAATTTTTTTAATGAGGAATATCAGTAATGTCTTTAAAAAGTATAGGTTTATGTCACACATTTTAAGAGAAATCCGCAAAATACAATTTAAAAAACGAACCCTTGTGTTTTGAAAACAAAAGACAATATATTCATAACTTCCTGTACTTCTAGAATTTGTGATTCTTCGACAAGTCTGAACAACTTATACGTCGTTAGCATCTTTCTTAAAGCACACACGGCAGTTTTGAATTTTGAAAATTATAAATTTTAATCAATGATCATGAGCAGGTAAGTGTAATTTTATCAAAACATATAAAGTTTTTTATTACTCCATAGGCTGGCTATGAATACATTTTCCATTGAAACACACTTTCCAAAACAAAGAGAATCCACAGTAGAAAAAACGAATCAGCATCCTGTTTTATTTTAGAATTATTTATTTTTTTGGATGTAAAGGAAAAGTCAAATAAACAAAGGTTACTTGGTATTCTTATATGTTTTTCTTAGTTCGACCTTTACACATACAATTATTTTGTTTAGAATTATTACGGAACTTAAAAATAAAAAATCATTGAAACGTCCGTTTTTAATTATTATGAAAAGGACCGTTTTGTTTGTTTAACTTTAAGCAGAATGTAAAAATAATCAGATTCCGCGAACGTTGAATTTAGGTTTACTACCACTCAGTATAAACTGATTGATAAGAATTATTAGTTTTCACTATTTAATAGATATACAGTGGCCGGTGTCTGTAAACAATGTACACAGGTTGTCCGAATAGAAAATATCTTATAGAGAAAAAATTTGCTACTTTATACATATAACTGTTTACAATTACAAAAGGATAGATAGGGTTCAACCTAAGCAAGAAAAGATTGATGAAATTGAAGCTATTGCCACTTGCCAGTACCGTCGTTCTTTGGACTTAATTTAACATAAAAAAATAATAATAGTGTAGTTCTACATTTGTACTAGATCCAGGGAAATTAAAATATTTAGTTTTGTAGGTTTGAATTGATACAGATGGATATAGTAAACACAACTTGCTTCCTGGGGCTTTTGCAGAAAGAATACGTTAATCATTAGCACGAAGACACCCTCATGATTTAGAACATAATGTACATATATTTGTTTAATTTTGTATTTTATTTCACAATTCTTGTACGTGCAGCAACAGACGTACGCTAGACTTCGAGATAACTAACAATTCGTAACAAGCATGTTACATGCCAAATGGTCAACATAAGCAAATTAAACCGAGTAGTTCATAACTGTTTACTACTAAACTCTGTCAAAATGGATGTACCGCTTTATTAGTAGGTCATGAATCATGCACATCGCTGACCAGTTGTTATACAATAAAGTAAATCGAGTAGACAGATAATATATTAGTGGTATATAATATTCATTGAAAGTACTCATAAAATTTTAAAACTGGTTTTCAGTGAAATATATTGTTTGTACTTCACTTAAATTTATACATCTATTTGTGGGTTAGCATTACATGTATAGTCTTTCCGAAGTCAATTGAACATGTAAAACGCCTAGTAATAAAATTTAATGAGTTTTATAGGCGTCCTTAAAAAATTTTTCTGTTAAAAGTAAAAATTTATAATACTTACCTAATTTATGTACAGGGTAGCCCATCGAAAACGTACCGCAAGGCATTACAGGGTAGTAATGAACTTTTCGGCAAAATCCAAAAACAGGTAAAGTTTGCTTCTGAGGGGGACAACTTTTGGCGCAAAAAGCATAGCAAAATCTTCAACCCCCTAAGTGGGG